AGAATGATAAACTAGACAAAACATTACAAGTTGAAGAACTTTGGATACAGACTATCTCGCAGAAGCACCAAATTTTAAACCAGGAACTTGACAAAACATTAATCTGAAATGTGTGCTGTTGATACCGATACACTTATTTCCAACATTACTTCCTGGACAGTCTTCTGTAAGATACTGGCACAATGACCGTGGGCTGTAAGTTATTGTACTTTCTGTAAAGTCATGGTGTCCTAAATGAATTAAGAGAACAGCTTTATGGTGAGTAAAGCACATAGTTGGACATTAGTCATTTTTAAGATGTACTGAAAACTTAACAGCCTTTGTGTATTACAAGCACAGCCAGCACTTCCTCCAAAGAACAGGGATTTTAAAGACTACCTTAAGGAAAAACTGTTTTACTAGGACAAATAAGGTGAAACTAAAAAAACAGAACACACAAATAAAATGTTTCTCAACAAATCATTCTGTGTATGCCTTTCATACCACCTCAGGTATTTAAATCAGGGTAATTTCTCCTTCACCACCCACCCCAAAGCAGGAGGCAGATGTTAACTGCCCAATCTGCCACTCTTTCACTGCATGACCTCGGGCAAGTTACATATCTAGTTTGTGTTCTATTTATAGAACACCAGTCACCATAGTATCCTGGCAATAGCCTCGCTAGGTGACTCAGTTTTCCCTTCTGCAATACATGAGAATAATGCTCACCTGCCTTTGCATAGTGTTTTGAGACCCACAGGCAAGAAGCACTAGGTAAGTGATCAGTTTTGTTATCCTGACTGATCTTGCAATGAAGTCATAATCCTGAGTTTCATGACATCAGGCAGTGGTCATGAAAGTGAACATGAGGTTACAAATATAGCATTGCACTTTCATTTTCAGGGTCAAAGAGAAAAGAGAGATGGCATGTAAAACATCAGCTCTCCTGATCATTGTAATTATTGAACTTTTAGCCCCAAAAAAGTGAGTTTGAGTAAAGCTAAAAGTGTAAAATTTCTTTTACTCATACTCATCCACTGAAGTCCATTTGAAGAGTTAAAATATATATATACTACAAGAGTAATATTTCTTGCTTTCTTCAAAAAGGAGATTATTTTTGCAGAGGTAAGAGAGAAAAAACAATACTAATCAATATATCATTTTGTTTCCAGGACACAAGATACACCCATCTCCTTTAAAATTACTCTGACTTTTCAAAGATTATGGACACCATTTTAAACAAACAGTGAGGCTAAGAACTCCCACCTTAAGGACAGTGCATATATAAATATATTATGGTCAGAACAGATGACAAAAATACCTTGAACAAATATTAATTCTATCACAGAGACTACTGGCATATAAAAACAGAATGGAATGAAATAAAATAAAGAGACTGGCTGGAAATCAGTAACCTGAGGTGACAAGGAGGAAAAAAGAAATTAAACCTGGTGTGTGAATATAAAGTCTCAGAATTTAATGAGAAGCTAGAGAAGGCTGTAACTTGAAGCAAAAAAGTCCTTTAAAAATGTTTTCTTGGAACTCATTTACTCCATCATAAATGTAGTGACGACAGGAGGGATGAACTGCAATTGGCAGAGGACAGTGGTGTCAACTTACAAATCATATATGTTGTATACAAACATTTCTCCTGATGGGATTTACAAAGCAGTTGAAGGAGTTAGGTGCCCAAGTGCCATGAAATTCAATGGGATTTGGTAGCCTAACAGGCTACTTTGAAAATCCCAGCCTTTGTTCCTAAAGCCATTCTAGTATTATTAAGAGTTGAAGTATTTTAAAAACCCAATTTGACAAAGGCTCTATTTTTGCATTTTTCAGTTTGGACAATGAAAATCAACATTTATACTTAGATTCACTTTCAAGCTCTCAGTGCTTCAATGTTTGGGTTTCAAAAGAGACAGGGAAATGTTTGTGCAAAACCAACTGTTTTCCTGTTTTTAAACAAGGGTATGGAAATATTATTGGACTGTAAATTGTTTTTATGAAACCTGAGACCAAAGTCTGGAGTCAAATCTAAATATGAAGTTTTTACTAAAGCTTTTTTTCCTTTTCTTTTTTTTTAAATACCATGTACAATTCAGAAAAAGGGGGACATAGATGTGGCCATTTTAAAGTATAATTAGCCAGGATTTCAACAAAATTGGAGACAATTAAGGCCTGGGCCCTATTTTGTGTAGTGCTGCATGCCCTGAACTCATACTGGCTTCAGTGAGTTAAGCCTGGTGAGGAACCTTCACCCATTTGGGCCCCAAGATGCTGAGAAATCTGAGCTACAGACTTTCCTGTTGTCTCTGCCCCTGTAAATGAAACAGCTACCATGAGCATAACTGTGGATGAACCAATCCACTCTGAAGTCCTGTTTTCACTCACACATTTCTGTCTTCAGCAGAACATATTCAGGTTTCATCACAACCAAAGGTGAGGGTTGTGTGTGTTTTGTTTTTTAAAGTTTCAGCTAAGTCAGTTTATGAGCCATGTTTATGTGAAGTCACTTGGTCTGGCAGAGAAACCATGAAGTCTGCAGCTCAGATTTCTCAGGAAATTGAGGAGGCAATGGCCTTATTTTGTTAAGTTACAGAATTAATAGCATGTTTAAACAGCTAGCTCTTCTTTCACTCTTTTGGAATCTTATAAGCCACCATGAGATTATTCCCACCCCCACCCCTCAAATCTTTTGTGGTTCATTTTATATCTGAAAAACTTATGTCCAAAATTTGCTGTTTATATTAAAGTTTACATAATACAACAGCAATTTACCAATGCTGATCCAGGCTCCCACACAAACTTAATAAAAATGTTTTTTATATAAACAGGTCACCGGCACAATGCATGTAATGCAAAAGATCTCATAACTTTACACTATTTATGATTATAGTAGAACCAAAAGGTCACAATTATTATTGAACTAGGCATAGTAAAGAACAAAAAACACCCTAGAGAGCGGAAGACAGCCATCATGCCCCCTGCCTGACCTAATCTCTTCCTGTGTCATGTCATGTCCCATCTAACCTAGACTGTAAATTCCTCTAAGCAGGGACTTGGTTTATTTGTTGGTGCTAGGCACATCTACGGTGTCATATTAAAAATTATTTGTTCCCTGCCCCGAAGTACATGAATCTACATACACACAACAGAAACGCAAATATACAAAAATAAACACACCTTTCATGTGTCAAGAATAATACAGAACTTGTTCTTTTTCCTGAAAGCTGACAAACCAACCCCTCCCCTTTTCTGTCCACATGCCATGGCCAATCCAGTTTGTCTCCTTTCATCCTGCACACCCTATTTACAGCTACATGCTCTATCAGAGAGAACAGACTGGCAAAAAGCATGTAAAAGGTTTTATCATAGAATCATAGAATATCAGGGTTGGAAGGGACCCCTGAAGGTCATCTAGTCCAACCCCCTGCTCGAAGCAGGACCAAATCCCAGTTAAATCATCCCAGCCAGGGCTTTGTCAAGCCTGACCTTAAAAACCTCTAAGGAAGGAGATTCTACCACCTCCCTAGGTAACACATTCCAGTGTTTCACCACCCTCATAGTGAAAAAGTTTTTCCTAATATCCAATCTAAACCTCCCCCACTGCAACTTGAGACCATTACTCCTCGTTCTGTCATCTGCTACCACTGAGAACAGTCTAGAGCCATCCTCTTTGGAACCCCCTTTCAGGTAGTTGAAAGCAGCTATCAAATCCCCCCTCGTTCTTCTATTTCGTAGACTAAACATCCCCAGTTCCCTCAGCCTCTCCTCATAACTCATGTGTTCCAGTCCCCTAATCATTTTTGTTGCCCTTCGCTGGACTCTTTCCAATTTTTCCACATCCTTCTTGTAGTGTGGGGCCCAAAACTGGACACAGTACTCCAGATGAGGCCTCACCAGTGTCGAATAGAGGGGAACGATCACGTCCCTCGATCTGCTGGCAGTGCCCCTACTTATACATCCCAAAATGTCTTCTTGGTAACAAGGGCACACTATTGACTCATATCCAGCTTCTCGTCCACTGTCACCCCTAGGTCCTTTTCCACAGAACTGCTGCCTAGCCATTCGGTCCCTAGTCTGTAGCGGTGCATTGGATTCTTCCGTCCTAAGTGCAGGACCCTGCACTTACCCTTATTGAACCTCATCAGATTTCTTTTGGCCCAATCCTCCAATTTGTCTAGGTCCTTCTGTATCCTATCCCTACCCTCCAGCGTATCTACCACTCCTCCCAGTTTAGTATCATCCGCAAATTTGCTGAGAGTGCAATCCACACCATCCTCCAGATCATTTATGAAGATATTGAACAAAACCGGCCCCAGGACCGACCCTTGGGGCACACCACTTGATACCGGCTGCCAACTAGACATGGAGCCATTGATCACTACCCGTTGAGCCCGACAATTTAGCCAGCTTTCTACCCACCTTATAGTGCATTCATCCAGCCCATACTTCCTTAACTTGCTGACAAGAATACTGTGGGAGACCGTGTCAAAAGCTTTGCTAAAGTCAAGAAACAATACATCCACTGCTTTCCCTTCATCCACAGAACCAGTAATCTCATCATAAAAGGCGATTATCCTCAGTTGCATCACTCTCTCCCATGTGCAATGTAGAGGGGAAAGCAGCTGTGATGGTCAGATTTCCCAGCAAGGTCTCTGGGTGCAGGGGACTGAGCCAGTCCTTGCTCATCTCATTCCCCCACATCAGAGTCCTGCTGCTGGCAGCTTCCCTGGATGCTTAATTTCTCTTCCATCTGGTCTCTCCTAAATTAGGTTCCAATCCCATAAACATTTGCTACCCTTTTCTAGGCAGCGAGAAGCTTCTAGTTACCATAGGCTGACTCAGTGTCTGAAATTCACTTGTGCTGGACTCCAAAGTAAGCCTAGTCACTAAACACACCTTTTTTTGGTCAATTTTTGTTTACAAGCTAAAATGAACTAAAAAAATGGGGGACACATTTGAGGCGTCTAGACCCAAAATGTAACCCCATTTTCTCCTGTAGCCAACTGCATGTGATTGTTTAAAAATGGTTGTCATCTTTGATTCTGCTCTCTTGAAGGTGGGAAGGAGGAGTTTGTTTATTGAGAGAAGTAATAAAATCAAAACTGGATATTCTGCAGTCCTCTCTCATTGAGTGACCTGGCACTCATGAACAATCCTATAGAACACTGAGCACCAGTGAGGGAAACAAGCCACAGTACAGAAACATTTTAGGTAAGTTTCCAAGGACAAACTGACATATCCTTTCAGTCCTTCAAAATAAAAAGGTAAGACTCTTAGCATTACTTCAGTTCTAATAATTTTGGGTATTTAGAAACACAAGGAAGTGAAATCTTAACCATCTAATACAAGTTTCACCACATTGCAGTCTGCTTATCTTTTTGCACTTCAGTTAACAGAGAAAATGGGTTTGTTTTCAATTTCAGAATTGCACGCACTAGCCCAATTCTGCAATATGTGAGCAGCAAATGATTCAAAACAAAGTTTTATTTTAAAAGTTTTTTGAAGTATTATACAATTTTGTAAAATACACGAGTATACTAGGTACCAAATACTCTGCCCAGCCTTGACTGTGGCACATACACTGACAATGATGGCCATTATTCACCATGCATGCAACTGTAGTGGTTATAAGTTGCACAGACACGGTTCAGGCACTTCTATCACTGTGCAGATGACAGTGGCAAAATGACTGAGCCCTTTCTAGAGCTTCTCCCACTGAATTATGGGTCTCTATGTTTTGCCAATGCAGAGAGGACCAACCGGGTCTCCATTCTGCAGCCACAAAAATTTTGATTTTGTTATAATGTGAATGTATCCTTTTGTCTTAGATGTACATGCATTTAAAAAGGAATAGAAGATGAATTCCACTCACCTTTTCAACTCAGCAGAAGTAATTAGTAACTCCGACCATCAATATTACACTTAAATCCACTTAGTGTCTCCTTAACCTGTCCCCTTTTCAACAGCCTGAGGGGACACAAGGGCCCTGTGTGCACCCTGAAGGTCAACGGATTTAGGCTCCATCAACTAAAGGGGGAAAAGTTCTTGAACAGAAGGGCACTCACCAGAAATGCCCCATCGACCTCCGTGTAGGTAACTGCTAAGCTCCAGCACCTCAGCTGGTGGTACCACGCAGTTTGTCTCTCACTTAATGAGCAAAGCCCCAAGCCATTTAGGGCTTTATAGAATAAAACCAACACCTTGAAATGCTCCGGTCACAAAATGGCAGACAGTACAGATGACCGAGCACAGATCTAAAGCACTCCCTGTGAGAAGCTCCATGAAGCAAGGGAGCCCCCACATTCTGGTCTTCAGGTGTAGCCCACGTAAAGTGCATTGTAGCAATCTAACCATGAGCTGATACAAGCACTGATCATTGCAGAAGTGGTTCACCTTCTAGCCAAAGGAAGATAAAAAAAACAAACATTTTTGTTCACTGCTGCTGTCTGGACATCTAGAAGCAGCTGGGAATGTAACAGAAGTCCCAGATGGGGAACCTGTGTCACAAGCAACAGGAAAAGTCTTCCCTTCAAAGCATCCAAACCAACCTTTCCACCCACTAAATTGCTTCCCCCACCCTCATAGTATTACCTCAATCTTATCTGGATTGAGACTCAACCAACTAGCCCTCCCCCGCCTCCCATATTTAGTTATCCACTGGATAAGATACTCATCTGCACCAACTGGGCCAAATGAGACTGAAGTATAAGGCTGGCCAATGCAATTCTATTTATTTATATCACAGTCATCCCCATAGTAATTAAGCATCCAAACTTAACATCTGCAACGGAGATCACTGACACATGCAAGTCTCAAACTGCACCCCCAACTCAGTGACAGAAGAATGTGCAATCTAAAGCCAAAAGGAAGATCTGTTTCTGAGATAAATCTATCCCCCTTCAGACGTAAGCTACTGAACCCTGCTCTCCACTTAAAATTTAGATCAACATAGCTATATCACTCAAGGCCAGGGTGGATTTAAAAAACAGATTTTTTAAAGATCAAATCTGTTTATTGAAATTTGATTTTTATTTCATTATTTAAATAATAAGGTTTTATTTAAAAAATTAAACCCATTTATTTCATTATTTAAATTATAATAAGGTTTCCTTTAAAAACTAAACCCATTTAAAATGAAATTTGAAATACAAAATATATGTTAAAGTCTAAACTTATAATATCTTCAAACGAACAGTTAAATAAAAAAAAGTTGAATCCATGAACCTCTATCAAAAGGTTCCTTTTCTATATAGAGAAAGAATCGGGGGGGGGAGGGGGGGGGATCTAGCTTTTGAGGTTAAGCTTTGTAAACATGGCACAGTATGTCATGTACTGTATTAAAGCCTGATCCTGTGGACCAACAGACTGACAGTCATCACACATGTTGGGACCTGGCCTCTGACTCCAGGAGACACCATCATGTATCTCATCAGGATCATCCACTGAGTCCATCTGGGTAGTTTCATACTCCTATTTTATAGCTTCTCCCTACCTGAGATCTGAGTGGTTGCATCCGATGAAGTGAGCTGTAGCTCACGAAAGCTTATGCTCAACTAAATTGGTTAGTCGCTAAAGTGCCACAAGTACTCCTTTTCTTTTTGCGAATACAGACTAACATGGCTGTTACTCTGAAACCTGAGTTCTCATGAGCATCTGTGACTCCACCCACCATGGAAGTTTATTCTCCAGCTCCTGGAAAAACACTGATCTGCCCACTACCAGGCCCTTGCTTCTGGGCACCTTAAGTAAATGGTCTTGCTCTGTCTCCTTGCACATGTGCACAGACAGTGATACAAACAAACAGAAATCCATCAGGTTTCACAGTGGTAGCCATGTTAGCCTGTATCAGCAAAAAGAACGAGGAGTACTTGTGGCACCTTAGAGACTACCAAATTTATCTGAGCGTAAGCTTTTGTGGGCTAAAACCTACTTCATCGGATGCATGCAGTGGAAAATACAGTAGGAAGATATATATACACACACACAGAGAACATGAAAAACGGGTGTTGCCATACACACTATAAGGAGAGTGATCAATTAAGGTGAGTTATCAGTAGGAGAAAAAAACCTTTTGTAGTGATAATCAGGATGGCCCATTTCCAACAGTTAACAAGAAGTTGTAACAGTGGGGGGGGGGGGGGGGAGAATAAGCATGCGGAAATAGTTTTACTTTGTGTAATGACCAATTTCTCAACCATCTCCCTCAGTCTCTATACAAATAAAATACTGCAATGCAAAAGGTATGTGGGTTACACAAGCAGAAATCTTAGATTATTGTTCTTTTGTTTTTCCGGGTGAGAGTCTGGAGGAGAGGAGGAGGGAGAAGAGAAGAGGAGAGAAAACTCCCATGGCTGTAAAAAAAAAAAAACACACCACATTTAAGAATATTTTCAATACATTCCTGTACCTCTGGGTAAACAAGGAACACATGCCAAATGTAAACAATGTGACAAAGGCAATGCTCCTCAAAAGGCAATGACTTTGAAAATGATGCGGGCATGTCTGAACAATCTGGATCAGCTGGTTAGTAAACTTATTTTTACACCATTTTAATAGACTGACTGCCATATCTTACTGTGCTAATAAATGATGACAGACTATTCTCAGACATTTGAGTTTTGGGTGGATTACTTAAGAATTTCAAAATATTTGTGTTCTAAATATAATTGATATGTTAATTGTGGGAGTATTTATCAGTTACATTTTTACTATTACTGCCGGACTTAAGATTATTTTAATTGTTCTATATATATATATATATATAAAAAATTGTTCAAACATTCTACGTGAAGATTTCCTGTTTAAAAGTAATGTTTTATTAGGTATTTATGAATTTTAACATTTAAAAAATGTTTTCCCCAAAGCTGTTTGGTATGTTGCTAAAGATAATAGATTCAGATGATCTTATAACTTGGTACTAACAATTGTAGTAGGGGGAATCATTCATTTACAAATATATATAAGGCAGTGCACTAACGGTCAGTGAGTGAGAATGACTTTCGTTTATCATTTTGTTGCAGAGTCCGGCTTAGATATAAGGAGTTAAGAATGTCCATCATCTGCAATGTCTACAACTTCAGAGTTATCTGCTGGTACCACCAGCAGTGCTGCAACTAAACATCCGTCAGACAATAAATTACCTATATCAAAACAAAGACCTTCTTCATCGTTTATGTAACAAATTCTCCCTTTCGTCTTTTTCAGAACAAACATTTAATTGACATGGTTGAATCATTATGACCTGGCTACGCACCACCTAGCAGAGCAGATATTCCTGGATACAGTGTTCGAGAAGGAAATTGAACAGTATGCAAAAAGCATTGATGGGAAATTAGTTCATCTGAGTCTCTGATCACTGAAGCAATGTAGACAATGATCTAGTAACTAATGCTTGCGTGACAGAAGATGGGACTGTCTGTTTTACAAAAATAACTGATACATCAGGAAATGCACATATAGCAGAATACTAAAAGAAGTAGCGGGAAAAGCTCTGTGAACAAACATTCAAGTGTCATGTGCATAGCTTTGTCACAGGGATAACTGCAAATGTAGCAAAGATGAGAAGAAATCTAGAAGAAGGTAATGAAGGGAACCTGAAACTTATAACACATGGGTGCAATGGCCATTTGGTGTTTCTTTCAGCTAACGACTTAACTCCAGTAATAAAGCAAACTTGCTGAAATTGCTAACACTTCTATAACCACCATTTCTTTTCAGCTTCACTGAAGAGAGCAGGAGGATACAAACTAATTCTTCCCAAGATGTACAGTGGAATTCAGTGGTTGAGTGTTTTGAACAATTTATTAAAAATTGGCCTATTCTGAGGTGGAGGGAGGTGGTGGAATCTCCTTCCTTAGAAATTTTTAAGGTCAGGCTTGACAAAGCCCTGGCTGGGATGATTTAATTGGGGATTGGTCCTGCTTTGAGCAGGGGGTTGGACTAGATGACCTCCTAAGGTCCCTTCCAACCCTGATATTCTATGATTCTATTATGACAATTTGTGGAGAAAATCATGACAAAATAGATGGAACTATCACTGCCAAAGTAGTCAATACCGGACTAAAGAAAAATGTAGAAGATATACTGAAACTTATTTCCATAGCTTTGGACCAACTGCAGAAAGATTGCTGTGGTTTTGCTGGGGCCGTTGAAATTCTGAAAGAACTTCAAGACACACTGAAGAAAGAGATACCCAACAACAAAGTTAAATTGCAGGCATTAAAAAAGCAGATGGATCAAGTACTTGCTTCACCTCATTTTCTTACCAATAGGCTCAACCCAATGCACCAAGGTAATCTGCCAACCTGCTGAAGAAGCAGCAGCAGCTGCTGCTGCGACATGGGCATCTAATCATCACTCATCAATCATGCCAACCAGAATGTCAACACTGGAGGGAGGTGACCATTCAAGCAGTACATGTTTGCTGATGTTTTTTAAAAAAGTCCCATCACTGAACTGGTAGAAGTTACTAGCTAAGCACCCGGAACCAGAGTCTGTTGAAGTGCTAAACCAGCTTTCAACAGCAATAGCCTCTCCTGCAGGCACAAAAAGAATATTATCTTCTTTTGGACCAATACAGTCAAAGTTGAGATATCAACTGGGAGTTGAAAAGCAGGAAAACTTGTCTCTCTCTTCCAGTCTATGAATAAAAACGGAGTGTGGGAGATGAGATCTACTAGTTTTAAAAGTCTGAAGGACAGCCTAAGTAATTTAGGAGACTGTCATCTCATTTTCTAGAGACTTAGGTGAGTAGGAACTTGCGCTCCAGCCACCTTCATTTAGGCAAATTTGAAAATGTTTCCAGGCTGACCTGAAATAATCAGTTTAATTCACTGACTACAATTAATCCCTATGTTCCTTTAATACATCATTTAGCTGTAAATGTGAAACATGTTTTGATAAGAGAAATCTATGTATCCAAAACATTTAAAATTGTTTTGTTTCATAAAAATAAGTTTTATATGCTGTTATGTTTAATTACATTCCAGTTACCACCCTAATGCAACTTGATACAAATCATGAGCAAAGAGTTAATTACATAAGTAGGCAATATATCATTCACCATTTTCTAACATACTAAAAACGTTCATTCAATAAGAATCTGAAAATATGAAGCTAAACAACTGCTCAAATAAATATGGCTATAGTGTACCCTAAGCAGCAAAAAAGATGTACCAAATCTCATGCAAAGGCTCCATTTAGTTGTGAATCAACATGTTTTAATGGTTATATCTACCAATAAGAATGCACCTTTCTTTAGAAAATAACTGAAATACATATGGAAAAGCTGGTTTAAATCAAGGCTTTCCACTTGATTTAAATCACTTTAAATTGTCTTGATTTCAATCAGTCCACCCTGCTCAGGGCTGTGAAAAATTCAGACCCCTGAGTGCCATAGTGAAGCTGACCTAACCCCCAGTGTAGACACAGCAGGCCAATGGAAAAATTCTTCCGTCAACCCAGCTACCACTATTCAGGGAGGCGGATTACCTACATCAGTGGGAAAAAAAATCTTCTGTCAACATAGGAAGCGTCTACACGACAGCACTCCAACTGTGATGCCCATAGTGTAGAGAAGCCCTTGGACTGTAAACCACATTCTGCCATCACAATTACAATGACTTCAATGGATGTACTCTGGATTTACACCATTGCAACATAGCAGAAATTGGCCACAATATAAGTTAAAGTTTCACATTTTGCTTAAACTGGTCAAGCAGACAGCTATGCACAGTACAAGATTAAAGATCAAGCAAAATGTGGTTCATAAAACTTCAGAGAAAATAGCCAACAGCCATTTCCTCCATATACAGAAAAAAGTGGATGGGATAAAATATCAAATCACTCAGATATGTTCTTACCATATTTCAGTTTTAGAGTTTTTAAAATTTGCAACCAAACAGTTAATCACTTGTTCCACTACGTATGACTATAATCACTGTGGCCCAAACAAAATTCCATAAAATTTAGATCTAGTATAAAGAATCTAAAATAAATATAACAGAAAGGAGAATCTTAATCTGGTCTCTAGAGCTCCTCCCTCAAATAACTCTACCTCTAGAAACAACATCTTAGTCTTGAGAAATGCAACTAAAATGTTTTAGATGAAACCAATTTTTCCTCACAGTAAAATTGTACACATAGATTCCCTTCTACACAGTGCCATGGAGCATATTTGGGAATACACTCAGCTGTAAAATCTGAATTTTACAACTAAGCCATATGGTTGCCTAATGGAGTAAGAAAAGGATTTTTCCCATTAAACTGGGTAAAATGTTTATAACCTGGATGGCTCAAAAATGGAGATGAACAAAACAAAAATATTTTGCTTTTCTTAAAATAACCACAGTCTGACTCTTAAGAGCACTAATAAATGTTGCCATGTATCCCCCCTGTGCAGATTTGAAGTAAACTGAGATTTCAGTAGAATAAAGCAAAAACCCTGAAATGCTCACTTAGGATGAACTTTTTTAAAATAAAGTTCTAGGAAAGATCAAAGCTCCCTCAATATGGGAAACACTCCACTGGATTTTAATGTAAGCTGTTACCGCTTCACCAGGCTAGTGATCTCTTCAGCTGATCTGCTAGAAGACTGATTTAAGAAACTGAAAGAGAAAGGAACCAGCTATCAAATCTACCTTCAAAACACTCTGCAACAAGTGCTTCTTGTAGCCTTAACAGCAGCGGTGGGACAAAGAGCACACAAGATGGGAACAACTCCACCCACAGGAACCACATGCAAGCAGCTCAAATACCCTGCCCTAAGGAGTTTACAGTATAAAGCTTATGCTCAAATAAATTGGTTAGTCTCTAAGGTGCCACAAGTACTCCTTTTCTTTTTGCAAATACAGACTAACAGGGCTGCTACTCTGAAACCTAGCATAAAGAGAGAGTATTAAGAACAACAAAAATGCGTGCACACTCACAGCAGGAGAGATAGGAAGTGATGAAAAAAAGTTATTGAACCATGAGGTTTATCACTCATAGCAATTCCACAATTCTTATTTAGACCTTTTTGGGAATTAATGATTTCAGGGTTTTTTCATGCATGAGGCAGACTCTTTAAGAACAGAGAAGATTACTTCACTCAGCATAACCATAACTTGGGTCTTATCTTTAGTCACAGTGTGTATTCTTCACAGCATTGATGAGTAACAGAAAATAAAGAGCTTGGGAGAACATATTCCTGGAGTAGAGTGGAGTGGAAGAGCCTTCAAGGAGGACTGAAAGTTCTAGCTAGTTGTTGACATTAAATGTGGGTGGAGAGGACTTTCACATGGAATAATATGGACAGGGTTTTTCTGCATTTCTTTTGCTATTATTACAGGTTTGTGCCTCAATAAAAGACTTCATCTCACAGCCTCTCATCCTTCCCACAATGAATAGATTATAATGTGTTTAGGTTAGTTAAACAGACATAAGTATCACAAGCCCTAAATCTGGGCTTTACTGAAGAGCAAGTAGAATATGATGGGTTCTGAAGGAACAAACGCCTTTTAAAAAAAAAACAACCCACACAGAACTGAAAAACGTGTTAAGAAAAACTATGAAATAAAAGTGTACATTTTCATGTCACCTTCCATCCAGTGATTTCAACACACCCTCAGACTTAAAACTTCACAGCCATCCTGTGTTGTCCTCATGATCCCATTTTTGCAGGTGGGTAAACTGAGGCACAGAGGGGTGAAGTGACTACCCAAGTCACATAGCAAGTCTGTGGCAAAGCTGGGAACAGAAGCAAAATCTTCTGAATTCCAGTCTTGTGCTTTAGCCACAAGACTGACTATAAAGAATTGGTTTCATGATAATGTAAGGTATGTTTGCAGGTTTATTCCATTCTGAAAGTCCTGCCCCAAGTGTAAGACTAGTAACATTCTAGTCTTTGTACATATACTCAACACACCTGTCTTGAGCACCAATTACTACAAGACAGTTCTGAAAAACTAATGTAGTTAAGAGGGGATGAGAAATAGACAGATAAAAGTCTCCCTAAAAATAGCAGTTTGTATATCTGCTGTAAAAATCCACTAGTTTTAGGCAAAGTCTATACTACAAACTTACATCGCATATAACTACTGAGCAATGTAGTTATACCAACCTAATCCCCAGTGTAGACAGCATTAAGCCAACGGGAGGGCTTCCCCCGTCAACATAGCTACTGCCTCTTGCAGAGCTGGACTAAATACGCCAACAGGAGAAGCTCTCCCCTCAGCAAAGCACTACAGTGAGGCTGCTGCAGCATTTTAAGTGTAGACCTACCCTAAAACTTGACCTCTCTCCTGCCTAAACATCCTGCTTTTAAATAGCAAGTTTCAAAAGAATGATTCAAACATTTCTAAAGTTAAAGTACCAAACTCCTTGATTTTGTGTGTAAGAGTTTTGCACTGGCTTAGGTTACGTGGTAATATTAAACATTTTGTTAGCTCTAAAAATAAGCAAGAATTGTGTAAAGTAATAATACCAAAAATTAATCCTTAACCCAAAGTAATGTGAGGATTTAGGGGGTGGGGAGAGGAAGTGGAAGACAGAGGAGGCTAGCCAAAGCATCATGAGGTAAACAAAGAGCTGGCCATCATTTCTGAATTTCCTGGATTTTGTCTTTATTGTAATCATAACATTTTTAAAGGTCATTTTCTGTACTGATAAGCTAAAAAGGCAGTAACTAGTATGAAGTGGAACAGAGCTTTCACAACCACTTCTGTAAAAGTTGTGTTTCAGAGGCATTATAAACACAAACTTTGCTCATCTTCCCCAAATTATACATTATCAGCATGTATTTACACTAATTACTACAGCACCTGCACATAACACCTCAGGAGCACAAAAAAACACCTCCAACACTGCAAACTGATTTAGTCTCAGTTGCTCAAGTTTTATAGCATAAGCTTAAAAATAAACACTTTAAACAAGTTAAATCAAACCACCATACTTAACTGGGGCTCTCACATAAATACAGGGCCAGTCAGGTAAGAATCCAAACCCAGATTCCACTGGGGAATATGATATGACCAAGGGAATTGCTAAAAGGAGCTGGTAGATATTAAAAAAGCAAGACCTTTCCAAAGGCTGATTTGATGCCATTTGTTGTGAAGGGCTCCATTTCAATGGAAAGTGCTGCTCCTCCCGTCCTGCACATCCTCCCCCTCCCTTTCCTTCACTCACATCCAGTTCCAATTTCTCTCCTTGAAAAAAGCAGCTGCTCTCACACCAGGAGGGCCCCTCCATTTCACCAGCCAACACCACCCCAGAGGCTATTGCCTTGATCTTCTGCTTTATTATAAGCATTCATCATTTACTCAAATTAAGATGACTAAGGGCCAGATTGCTCTCTGGTGACAAGGGGAGGGGAGGGCTAGCCCCTTGGGTCACCTACAGTGGTCTGCAGGGACAGCCAAGGTATGCACACTACAACACAGAACCCTTGGTTTTTGTTTCACAGGACTTTTCTGTTCCTCTGAATATAAGCAAGATGGCTGAGTGTGTCCACACTCAAGATGTTAACATACCTAGAGCTGAGACATTTTAAACCTGGTTCATTCTAGTCTATTCATAACAGATATTAAACAGCATTTGAAGACATTTCAGTATCAAATTTTTAGTTCTGAGCTGAATTCAGACGTGAATGCACTCAGATCTGAAATGACAGCAGTTCCCTTTCTATACCCAGTTCCCAGCAGAGGGGTTTACACTTTCCTGCAGTAATTTTCTTCATCAACAATAGCAATGAAAGTGAAGATTTGTTATCTACACATAAGTAACTAAACCCAGGAGCACAGCACAGCCCTGGACACTAGTTTCCCAGCAGTCAAGCAGCATCAGGGACAAGGGAAGACTGGGTGGGGAGTGTTGATATAGAGATCACAGAATATCAGAGTTGGAAGGGACCTCAGGAGGTCATCTAGTCCAACCCCTTGCTCAAAGCAGGACCAATCACCAACTAAATCATCCCAGCCAGGGCTTTGTCAAGCCTGACCTTAAAAACCTCTAAATGATGATCATTCACCTTCTTGTCCTTGCACTCCCTACTGTTGCTGCAAGGAAGAAGGTATTATGGCCGGCCTTTCAATGATCACAGCCACATTTGTCTCACTACCTCCCTTACAAAATAAGAAGGGAGCACCCAGGAAGCAGTGGAAGAAAAACAGAATGGAAACCACACACAATACCCAGCGCAATAATAATTCACCCTCCTCTTCCCTGCAACAACAGCTCCCCTTCAGCCTGAACTAGAATTAGAAAAGGGACCAAAGACACACCCCCTTCACAAACCCTACCCTCACTTTGAAGGTACCAGAGACCCTGACCCCACCATGAGCAAAACTCGAACAACCCTGGCATCCTGTGAGGGGACTGGACACCTCCCAGAAAAGAACACACCGATACACACACACAGAAGCAGCAGGGAACAGTGGGGCAGCAGAGGAAAACAGGGGTCCTTGTCACAGTAAAAAAGAGACAAGAGTTCAAGGCGGACAGGAGAAGGGGGGCAGAGACCCCTCTCCTTGACAGCCATAGTACAGGAGAGCCAGAAATCTGGTGAGAGGGAAAGGAGACCAAAGCCCTCCTTCCAAAGTAGTGAAGACAGACAGGGAGTATGTTCGAAGAAGAGACCAGATGCCCCTCCCTCACTGAAAATGAATGTGGAAAGAATAAAATCAATTTTCAGGGGAAAAAGAGCCCTACAGTTCTGCTTTTTCTCTCCCCCACTTCATGTAAGAGCACTAGCCTACACTCTCTGACCCCCTTCCTATGCCTCTCACTGGGAAGAGAGGCTCTGGGAGTATAGGACAGAATCCCTTCCCCCAAGTGAAAACCACAGGGGTTGGGATCCCAAGGGAAGTAAGCCAGAGCCCCCTCCTCCACTGGGAGGCATAGGGAAGATGGGGATTAGAGGATTTAGACTTAGTAAGAGGCACAGGGTGGGGAGGAATAGGACTGACACACTCAGCCCTCAGTTTTAGCCAAGATGGTCAGGGAGGCAACCCCATGCTCTGGGTGTCCCTAAGTCTCTGACTACCAGACGTCAGGCCTGGACAACAGCGGATAGATCATTCAATAATTACCCTGTTCTGTTCACTCCCTCTGAAGCATCTGGCACCAGCCATTGAGAGAGACAGGACAGTGGGCTAGATGGACCATTGGTCTGACCCAGGATGGCCATTCTGATGTTCTTAGGGGAACCACCGGAAAGGGGTGTGTGGGGAAAGGGCTGACAAAGACTTCTGACCTCCCAAGCAGGAGGTAAGACTAGGACATGGTAGAGAAGAAGACCAGCAACACTGCCCCGCTTCCCCTGCGAGTGAGAGGAGACAACAGCGTCCCCCAACCCTACAGTGGGAGAAGAACCTGGGAGAAAGGAGACTAGGGCCCTCACTACCCTGAGAAAAGAGACAGGGAATTGGGAGGTGCAAGAGATGATGAGGAAGGGGGGGATGGGGTCTCTCAGACCAGGAGGGCTTGATTCCTCCAACCCTAGTTTGTGGGAAGAGATAGGGGAGCCTGAGGGACAGACACATCCCCAACTCTTCTCCCGCACCGCTCCTTGAGCATCAGAAAGAAAGGGGAAACTACAGTTCCCTGCCAGGTACAAGGAAGAAACAAGGGAATCTGAGGCCTGGAAACAAAAGGCCTCCCCGAGTTGGGGGAGGGACCCTCTTGACCCACTCTGTTCTCCCCACCCCCAGACCCTTGCCCCTTTCCTTCTCATTAAGATGGGAAGGAATGAGGTTCTGGTGACCTTCTCTCTCCCCACCCCAAGCTCCCTCAAACCAGAAGGGGCCCTACCCTCCTGGGAGGGGGTAAAATGGTGAAGGGGGCTCTGCTCTCTCTGTGGGGGAGAGGAGACAGGCGGCGAGGGGCTCTGGCCTCTCTCGGGGGGGAGGGGGGGGGGAAGGCAGAGGAGACAGGCGGCAAGAAGGGGTGCTGGCCTCTCTCTGGGAAGGGGAGGAGGACTCTGCTTTCTCTCTCCCTGGGCAGGGGAGATGGGTGGTGAGGGAGAAGAAGATAGGGGCCCCCCCCCGCTCTCCCCGGAGGGGGGGGTTAAGATAGATGGTGGGGGGGACGCTGCTCTCCCCGGAGTGGGGGCTCCGCTCTCGGGGGGGGTAAGATAGATGGTGGGGACCCCGCTCTCCGCAGAGGAGTGGGGGCTCCGCTCTCGGGGGGCGGGTAAGGTAGATGGTGGGGGCCCCGCTCTCGGGGGGGTAAGGTAGATGGTGGGGGACCCGCTCTCCCCAGAGGAGTGGGGGCCCTGCTCTCTCGGGGGGCGGGCTCCGCTCTCGGGGGGGGGGTAAGATAGATGGTGGGGGCCCCGCTCTCGGGGGGCGGGTAAGGTAGATGGTGGGGGCCCCGCTCTCCCCAGAGGAGTGGGGGCCCTGCTCTGGGGGGGGGGAAGTAGATGGTGGGGGCCGCGCTCTCAGGGGGGGGGGGTAAGGTAGATGGTGGGGGCCCCGCTCTCCCCGGAGCAGTGGGGGCTCCGCTCTCGGGGGGGGGGGTAAGATAGATGGTGGGGGCCCCGCTCTCCCCAGAGGAGTGGGGGCCCGCTCTCGGGGGGTAAGGTAGATGCTGGGACCCCGCCTCCCCAGAGGAGTGGGGGCTCCGCTCTCGGGGGGGTAAGGTAGATGCTGGGGACCCCGCTCTCCCCAGAGGAGTGGGGGCTCCGCTCTCGGGGGGGGTAAGATAGATGGTTGGTGCCCCACTCTCCCCAGAGGAGTGGGGGCTCCGCTCTCGGGGGGGTAAGGTAGATGCTGGGGACCCCGCTCTCCCCAGAGGAGTGGGGGCTCCGCTCTCGGGGGGGGGGGTAAGATAGATGGTTGGTGCCCCACTCTCCCCAGAGGAGTGGGGGCTCCGCTCTTGGGGGGGGGGTAAGGTAGATGCTGGGGGCCCCGCTCTCCCCAGAGGAGTGGGGGCTCCGCTCTCGGGGGGGGTAAGATAGATGGTTGGTGCCCCACTCTCCCCAGAGGAGTGGGGGCTCCGCTCTCGGGGGGGGGTAAGGTAGATGGTGGGGGCCCCGCTCTCCCCAGAGGAGTGGGGGCTCCGCTCTCGGGGGGGGTAAGGTAGATGGTGGGGCCCCGCTCTCCCCAGAGGAGTGGGGGCTCCGCTCTCGGGGGGGGGGGTAAGGTAGATGCTGGGGGCCCCGCTCTCCCCAGAGGAGTGGGGGCTCCGCTCTCGGGGGGGGTAAGGTAGATGCTGGGGGCCCCGCTCTCCCCAGAGGAGTGGGGGCTCCGCTCTCGGGGGGGGGTAAGGTAGATGCTGGGGGCCCCGCTCTCCCCAGAGGAGTGGGGGCTCCGCTCTCGGGGGGGGGGGTAAGGTAGATGCTGGGGGCCCCGCTCTCTCCTGAGGAGTGGGGGCTCCGCTCTCGGGGGGGGAGTAAGATAAATGGTGGGGGCCCCGCTCTCCCCAGAGGAGTGGGGGCTCCGCTCTCGGGGGGGGGAGTAAGATAAATGGTGGGGGCCCCGCTCTCTCCTGAGGAGTGGGGGCTCCGCTCTCGGGGGGGGGAAGCGGGGCTGAGGGGGGGCTCTGCTCCCCGCCCCCAGCCGTGCCCCTGGCGCTGAGGGAGAGACTCTCTCCGGGCCTCCCCGCCCCCACCCCCTCGGTGCCGTCTCCCTGGGGGCTCCGGCCTCCCCGCCCCACGGCCGGCCCCGAGTGGGGGGGGTCACTCCCCCCCGGGCCCGCTCGTTACCTGCCCAATGTGCTCACAAAGCAGCAGCAGCGGCGGCGCCCACCACTGTCACGTGACAACCCCCCTCCCCCGGTGCAGCGCAACGCCGCGCGGCCTCTCCCCCGCCACGTGACCCACTGAGCGCGCGCGCGCCGCCGAGCACCGTTCCACGCGACCCGGCGCGCCCGCCCGCCCGCTCGCTCGCTCTCCCTCCACGTGACAGAGGGAGACAAAGGCGCTCCCTCAGCACGTGACCAAAGGTTTCCTAGCGAGGCGGGGAGCGGGAAGCGCAGTCTGCCCCGCCCACAGAAGGGGCGGAGCTTCGCGGTCCACAGAGACAGGTACAGGCACCGGCTCGAAGGCAGGGGGAGCTCAAGTCGTGGCCCGGGGGGCGCTGGAAGGGAGCGGGGAACGCCGGGGCTGAAGGGGCGGGGGAGGTCAGCCCTGGGGTGGGGGGGGCTGGAAGGGAGAGGGAGCTCTGGGGCAGGGGAGGGGCTGGAAGGGGAGGTCAGCCCTGGGGTGGGGGGGCTGGAAGGGAGGGGGATCTCTGGGGCAGGGGAGGGGCTGGAGGGGGAGGTCATCCCTGGGGTGGGGGGGCTGGAAGGGAGAGGGAGCTCTGGGGCAGGGGAGGGGCTGGAGGGGGAGGTCATCCCTGGGGTGGGGGGGCTGGAAGGGAGAGGGAGCTCTGGGGCAGGGGAGGGGCTGGAGGGGGAGGTCATCCCTGCGGTGGGGGGGCTGGAAGGGAGAGGGAGCTCTGGGGCAGGGGAGGGGCTGGAAGGGGAGGTCAGCCCTGGGGGGGGGGGGCTGGAAGGGAGAGGGAGCTCTGGGGCAGGGGAGGGGCTGGAAGGGGAGGTCAGCCCTGGGGTGGGGGGGCTGGAAGGGAGGGGGATCTCTGGGGCAGGGGAGGGGCTGGAGGGGGAGGTCATCCCTGGGGTGGGGGGGGCTGGAAGGGAGAGGGAGCTCTGGGGCAGGGGAGGGGGGAGGTCATCCCTGGGGTGGGGGGCTGGAAGGGAGAGGGAGCTCTGGGGCAGGGGAGGGGCTGGAAGGGGGAGGTCATCCCTGCGGTGGGGGGCTGGAAGGGAGAGGGAGCTCTGGGGCAGGGGAGGGGCTGGAAGGGGAGGTCAGCCCTGGGGGGGGGCTGGAAGGGAGAGGGAGCTCTGGGGCAGGGGAGGGGCTGGAAGGGGAGGTCAGCCCTGGGGTGGGGGGGCTGGAAGGGAGGCGGATCTCTGGGGCAGGGGAGGGGCTGGAAGGGGAGGTCAGCCCTGGGGGGGGGGGGGCTGGAAGGGAGAGGGAGCTCTGGGGCAGGGGAGGGGCTGGAAGGGGAGGTCAGCCCTGGGGTGGGGGGGGCTGGAAGGGAGAGGCAGCTCTGGGGCAGGGGAAGGGCTGGAGGGGGAAGTCAGCCCTGGGGTGGGGGGGCTGGAAGGGAGAGGGATCTCTGGGGCAGGGGAGGGGCTGGAGGGGAAGGTCAGCCCTGGGGTGGGGGGTTGGAAGGGAGAGGGAGCTCTGGGGCAGGGGAAGGGCTGGAGGGGGAGGTCAGCCCTGGGGTGAGGAGGCTGGGGAGAAGATGTAGGGGAGCGGGAGTTCAGCACTCTGGGGTGGGGTGGGATAGGGTGGGGGGGGCTGGAAGGGAGGGGGAGCGCTGGGACAGTGGAGGGGCTGTAGTGGGAGGGAGTTCAGCATCCTGAGGGGGACTGGAAGAGAGGGGGAGCTCTGGAGCAGGGGAGGGGAGGGGAGGTCAGCACCCTGGGGCAGGGAGAGGGACTGGAAGGGAGGAGGTGTTTCCATCAGCACCCTCTAAGCCCTAGTCTACACTAGGAGTTGAGGTTGAATTTAGCAGTGTTAAATCGATTTAATCCTGCACCCGTCCACACGACGAAGCCCTTTTTTTCGGCTTAAAGGGCTCTTAAAATCGATTTCCTTACTCCACCCCTGACAAGGGGATTAGCACTGAAATCGGCCTTGCTGAGTCGAATTTGGGGTATTGTGGACGCAATTAGATGGTATTGGCCTCCGGGAGCTATCCCAGAGTGCTCCATTGTGACCGTTCTGGACAGCGCTCTCAACTCAGATGCACTGGCCAGGTAGACAGGAAAAGGCCCGCGAACTTTTGAATTTCAATTTCCTGTTTGGGTACATGGCAAGCTGCAGGTGAGTGCAGAGCTCATCAGCAGAGGTGACCATGATGGAGACCCAGAATTGCAAAAGAGCTTCAGCATGGACCGAATGGGAAGTACGGGATCTGATCGCTGTATGGGGAAAGGAATCCATGCTATCAGAACTCCGTTCCAGTTTTCGAAATGCCAAAACCTTTGTCAAAATCTCCCAGGGCATGCAGGACAGAGGCCATAACAGGGACCCGAAGCAGTGCCGCGTGAAACTTAAGGAGCTGAGGCAAGCCTACCAGAAAACCAGAGAGGCAAATGGCTGCTCTGGGTCAGAGCCCCAAACATGCCGCTTCTATGATGAGCTGCATCCCATTTTAGGGGGTTCAGCCACCATTACCCCAACCATGTTGTGTGACTCCTTCAATGGAGATGGAGGCAACATGGAATCAGGTTTTGGGGATGAGGAAGATAGCTCACAGCAAGCAAGCGGAGAAACCGGTTTTCCCAACAGCCAGGAACTGTTTCTCACCCTGGACCTGGAGCCAGTACCCCCCGAACCCACCCAAGCTGCCTCCCGGACCCATCAGGCAGAGAAGGGACCTCTGGTGAGTGTACCTTTTTAAATACTATACATGGTTTAAAAGCAAGCATGTTGAATGATTAATTTGCCCTGGCATTTGCGGCTCTCCTGGATGTACTCCCAAAGCCTTTGCAAAAGGTTTCTGGGGAGGGCAGCCTTATTTCATCCACCATGGTAGGACACTTTACCACACCAGGCCAGTAGCACATACTCAGGAATCATTGTAGAACAAAGCATTGCAGTGTATGTTTGCTGGCATTCAAACAACATCTGTTCTTTATCTCTCTGTGTAATCCTCAGGAGAGTGATATCATTCATGGTCACCTGGTTGAAATAGGGTGCTTTTCTTAAGGGGACATTCAGAGGTGCCCATTTCTGCTGGGCTGTTTGCCTGTGGCTGAACAGAAATGTTCCCCGCTGTTAGACACGGGGAGGCGGGAGGAGCTAGCCACGCGGTGGGGGGAGGCAAAATGCGACCTTGTAACGAAAGCACATTTGCTATGTATGTAATGTTAACAGCAAGGTTTACCATGAAAGAGTGTACCCATTGTTCTATAAAATGTGTCTTTTTAAATACCACTGTCCCTTTTTTTTCTCCACCAGCTGCATATGTTTCAAGGATCACAGGATCTTCTCCTTCCCAGAGGTTAGTGAAGATTAGAAGGCAAAAAAAACGCACTCGTGATGAAATGTTCTCTGAGCTCATGCTGTCCTCCCACACTGACAGAGCACAGACGAATGCGTGGAGGCAGACAATGTCAGAGTGCAGGAAAGCACAAAATGACCGGGAGAAGAGGTGGCAGGCTGAGGAGAGGGCTGAAGCTGAAAGGTGGCGGCAGCGTGATGAGAGGAGGCAGGATTCAATGCTGAGGCTGCTGGAGGATCAGACTAATATGCTCCAGCGTATGGTTGAGCTGCAGGAAAGGCAGCAGGAGCACAGACCGCCGCTACAGCCCCTGTGTAACCAACCGCCCTCCTCCCCAAGTTCCATAGCCTCCTCACCCAGACACGGAAGAATGCGGTGGGGGGCCTCCGGCCACCCAGCCACTCCACCCCAGAGGATTGCCCAAGCAACAGAAGGCTGGCATTCAATAAGTTTTAAAGTTTTAAACTTTTAAAGTGCTGTGTGGCCTTGTCCTTCCCTCCTCCACCACCCCTCCCGGGCTACCTTGGCAGTTATCCCCCTATTTGTGTGATGAATTAATAAAGAATGCATGAATTTGAAGCAACAATGACTTTATTGCCTCTGCAAGCAGTGATCGAAGGGAGGAGGGGAGGGTGGTTAGCTTACAGGGAAGTAGAGTGAACCAAGGGGTGGGGGGTTTCATCAAGGAGAAACAAACAGAACTTTCACACCGTAGCCTGGCCAGTCATGAAACTGGTTTTCAAAGCTTCTCTGATGCGAACCACGCCCTCCTGTGCTCTTCTAACCGCCCTGGTGTCTGGCTGTGCATAACCAGCAGCCAGGCGATTTGCCTCAACCTCCCACCCTGCCATAAACATCTCCCCCTTACTCTCACGGATATTGTGGAGCGCACAGCAAGCAGTAATAACAGTGGGAATATTGGTTTCGCTGAGGTCTAACCGAGTCAGTAAACTGCGCCAGCGCGCCTTTAAACGTCCAAATGCACATTCTACCACCATTCTGCACTTGCTCAGCCTGTAGTTGAACAGCTCCTGACTACTGTCCAGGCTGCCTATGTATGGCTTCATGAAGCCATGGCATTAAGGGGTAGGCTGGGTCCCCAAGGATAACTATAGGCATTTCAACATCCCCAACAGTTATTTTCTGGTCTGGGAATAAAGTCCCTTCCTGCAGCTTTTGAAACAGACCAGAGTTCCTGAAGATGTGAGCGTCATGTACCTGTCCCGGCCATCTCACGATGTTGGTGAAACGTCCCTTGTGATCCACCAGAGCTTGCAGCACTATTGAAAAGTACCCCTTGTGGTTTATGTAGTTGCTGGCTTGGTGCTCCGGTGCCAAGATAGGGATATGGGTTCCGTCTATGGCCCCACCAGTTAGGGAATCCCATTGCAGCAAAATCATCCACTATGACCTGCACATTTCCCAGGGTCACTACCCTTGATATCAGCAGATCTTTGATTGCATTGGCTACTTGGATCACAGCAGCCCCCACAGTAGATTTGCCCACTCCAAATTGATTCCCAACTGACCGGTTGCTGTCTGGCGTTGCAAGCTTCCACAGAGCTGTTGCCACTTGCTTCTCAACTGTGAGGGCTTCTCTCATCTTGGTATTCATGCACTTCAGGGCAGGGGAAAGCAAGTCACAAAGTTCCATGAAAGTGCCCTTACGCATGCGAAAGTTTTGCAGCCACTGGGAATCGTCCCAGACCTGCAACACTATACGGTCCCACCAGTCTGTGCTTGTTACCCGGGCCCAGAATCAGCGTTCCATGGCATGAACCTGCCCCATTAGCACCATGATGCCTGCATTGCCAGGGCCCATGCTTTGAGACAAGTCTGTGTCCATGTCCTCATCACTCTCGTCACCGCGCTGACATCGCCTACTCGCCCGGTTTCGCTTTGCCAGGTTTTGGTGCTGCATACACTGCTCGATAATGCGCATGGTGTTTAATGTGCTCCTAATTGCCAAAGTGATCTGAGCGGGCTCTATGCTTGCCGTGGTATGACGTCTGCACAGAAAAAAGGCACGGAACGATTGTCCGCCATTGCTCTGACGGAGGGAGGGGCGACTGACAACATGGCTTACAGGGTTGGCTTACAGGGAATTAAAATCCTGTAAAATTTTTAAAATTACAGGGGTGGCTTTACATCAAGGAGAAACAAAAACAACTGTCACACAGAATGTCCCCCTCAAGGATTGAACTCAAACCCCTGGGTTTAGCAGGCCAATGCTCAACCCACTAAGCTATCCCTCCCTCTGGTATTTCAGGCAGGACTTCACAGAGGGGGGAAGGGAGGGAGGGGGGAGTAAATGAATACAAAACAAATCTGGTCTTTTTCTTGTTTTGATCCACTCCATCTATCTTTTACATCTTTGGCTGGCAGCAGACGGTGCAGAAGAACTGCAAGGCATGCACATCTCCTGGCTGCTTGGCTGAAGATGGTACAATAGGACTGTTAGCCATCCACATCTCCTGCCTGCTCACCATAAGATGCTACAATAGGACTGCCTGCAGGACTAAAGAGAATGACCTGGTCGAGTCACTCCTAATTTAGTCCCTGCACCCATATCTGCCCAGGCGCTCCTGACCGACCTTACTGAGGTGGCCAGGAGCACCTTGGACATGATGAGGATGGTTTTCAGGCCTATTGTACCGTCTGCTGCCACAAGGCAATAGGTTGCTGCTGCTGTGTAGCAATGCAGTAGTACCCTGTCTGCCAGCACCCAGGAGGCATACGTTGACAGTGAGCTGAGCGGGCTCCATGATTGCTGAGGTATGGCGTCTGCACAGGTAACTCAGGAAAAAAGGTGCGAAACGATTGTCTGCCATTGCTTTCACAGAGGGAGGGAGGGAAGAAGGGCCTGATGACATGTACCCAGAACCACCTGCGACAATGTTTTTTGCCCCATCAGGCATTGGGATCTCAATCCAGAATTCCAATGGTCAGCGGAGACTACGGGAACTGTGGGATAGCTACCCACAGTGCAACACTCTGGAAGTCGACGCTAGCCTCGGTACTGTGGAAGCACTCCGCCAAGTTAATGCACTTAATGCACTTAGAGCATTTTGTGTGGGGACACACACAATAGACTATATAAAAACAATTTCTAAAAAAACGACTTCTGTAAATTCGACCTAATTTCATAGTGTAGACATACCCTAAAACTCTGGTTCAGAAAATTGGTTTAATGTGAAAATTGTCACACTTATTCTAAAGCCAGAGGAGGATGCTTCTTCACCATCTGAAGAAGATCCATTAAATATTTTTGAGCTAAAGGTCATTGAAAAGTTAACCTGATTTCAAAAATGACATTTGTTCTTTGTTTTCCTTTTAAGTCCTTGTCTACTTGCATTTAAACAGCTGTAAAAATGTGAGTGGAGACCAGTTTTATTTCAGTTTAAGTATCTTATTTCAATTCATCTTAAACAGATTCCTAATCTATTTAGGCCAGTGGTTTTCAAACTGCGGGTCACAACCCAGTATTAGGTCGCGGAATGTAAGGCTCTGGGTCGCAGCAGCTTTGGTCAGCACTACCAACTGGGCTGTTAAAAGTCCCGTCGGCGGTGCTGCCCAGTTAAAACAGGCTAGTCCCTACCTGTTCTGACAGTGCACTGCAGCCAGCAGCAGGTCCAGCTCCTAGGCGGGGGGGCTATGGGGCTCTGCATGCTGTCCCCGCCCCAAGCACTTGCTCTGCACTCCCACTGGGCAGGAACCAGCCAATGGGAGCTGGGTGGGGCAGTGCCTGCAGGCTGGACCTGCTGCTGGCCACTTCCAGGGGGCAGCACAGTCCATGGTGCTGGGAAAAGCAGGAAGCCTGCCTTAGCACCCCAGCTGACTGGGAGCCACCCGAGGTGAACCTGTGGCCCAATCCCATGCCCCCACCCTCACCCCCCAACCCAGAGCCCCTTCCTGCACCCCAAACCCCTCATTCCCAGCCCAACCCCAGAGCCTGCATCCCCAGCCCTGACCCTTGACCCCCTCCTGCACCCTAAACCCCTCATCCCTAACCCCACCCCTAGCCCTCACCCTGCACCCCATCCCCAGCTCCGTTGGATCACAGGCATCAACAATTTTCTTCAAGTGGGTCGCCAGAAAAAAAGTTTGAAAACCACTGATTTAGGCTATGTCTATGCTGCACTTTTGCTGGTAAAACTTTTGTCGGTCAGGGGTGTGGAAAAACACACCCCGACCGACAAAAGTTTTACAGATGAAAAGTGCCGGCATGGACAGCACTTTGTCGGTGGGAGACGCTCTCTCACCAACAAAGATACTGCCCATCATGGGAGAGCTCTCTCCTGCCGACAAAGAACAGCTACACTGTGTACGTTACAGCAGCATGGCTGTATCGCACAGTTGTGCCACTGTAAGGTACGCAGTGTGGCCTTAGCCTCAGACTAAACTGAGAAAAGACAAGGGTGCTCACAAAGGCTTTTGCAACAGTTTAAGTTAGTGTAAAAAGCATATCTTAAGTTAAACCAGTGTAACTTTTTCTCATGTAAATGAACCCTACCTCTGAAACAGCTTGTTACTTACTGCCCCTGCAGACTTTCCATACAGTTAAATCCTCTCTCAGGGTATGTCTACACTACGGAATAAGGTCGAATTTATAGAAGTCGGTTTTTTAGAAATCGGTTTTATATATTCGAGTGTGTGTGTCCCCACAGAAAATGCTCTAAGTGCATTAAGTGCATTAACTCTGCGGAGTGCTTCCACAGTACCGAGGCTAGAGTCGACTTCCGGAGCGTTGCACTGTGGGTAGCTATCCCACAGTTCCCGCAGTCTCCGCTGCCCATTGGAATTCTGGGTTGAGATCCCAATGCCTGATGGGGCTAAAACATTGTCGCGGGTGGTTCTGGGTACATATCGTCAGGCCCCGTTCCCTCCCTCCCTCCGTGAAAGCAAGGGCAGACAATCGTTTCGCGCCTTTTTTCCTGAGTTACCTGTGCAGATGCCATACCACGGCAAGCATGGAGCCCGCTCGGGTAACCGTCACCGTATGTCTCCTGGGTGCTGGCAGACGCGGTATGGCATTGCTACACAGTAGCAGCAACCCATTGCCTTCTGGCAGCAGACGGTGCAATATGACTGGTAGCCGTCATCGTCATGTCCGAGGTGCTCCTGGCCACGTCGGCTGGGAGCGCCTGGGCAGACATGGGCGCAGGGACTAAATTTGGAGTGACTTGACCAGGTCATTCTCTTTAGTCCTGCAGTCAATCCTATTGAACCGTCTTATGGTGAGCAGGCAGGCGATACGGATTGCTAGCAGTCGTACTGTACCATCTTCTGCCGGGCAGGCAAGAGATGAGGATGGCTAGCAGTCATATTGTACCATCTTCTGCCTGGCAGGCAAGAGATGAGGATGGCTAGCAGTCGTACTGTACCATCTTCTGCCAAGCAGCCATGAGATGTGGATGGCATGCAGTCCTTCTGCACCGTCTGCTGCCAGCCAAAGATGTAAAAGATAGGTGGAGTGGTTCAAAACAAGAAATAGACCAGATTTGTTTTGTACTCATTTGCCTCCTCCCCCGTCTAGGGGACTCATTCCTCTAGGTCACACTGCAGTCACTCACAGGGAAGGTGCAG